TATAGATAGATCATTGGTTAAGAACACTATCTGGTCTTTCAGAGGTCCTGAGTTCAATTCCCAGCAACTACATGATGGATCACAACCATCTGTAATGAGATCTAGTGCCCTCTTCTGGCCTGCAGGTGTACATTCAGACAGAACACTGTATACATAATAAATAAATAAATAAATAAATAAATAAATAAATATTTTTAAAAAAAAAGATAGTTTAAAAGTATGGTTTCCCAGCACTTGAGAGGCAGAGGCAGGTGGATCTCTGTGAGTTCAAGGACAGCCTGAACTACAAAGCCAGGATTACACAGAAAGACCATCTTGAAAAACCAAAATTAAATAAAATTTTAAAAAGTATGGTTTCATATTTAGGTTCTAATGGGCTAGAGAAATGGCTCAGTAGTTAAAGGTATATACTACTCCTGCATAGGACCTAAGTTCAGTTCCCAACATCCACATCAGGCAGCTCACAACTACCTGTTAGTTCCTGGGTATCCAACACCCCCTTCTGGTCTCTATAAGCACTATAAGGATGTGTACAAATCCACACAGACACATGTATATATACATAATTTTTAAAAATTGATTGATTTAGGTCCTGGAGAGATGGCTCAACAGTTAAGAGGACTGACCCAGTTTCAATTTCCAGCACCTGCCTGATGGCCCACAACCATCTGTAACGTCAATTCCAGGGATCTAACTGCCTCTTCAGACTTGCACATACATACATAAAAACAAAATACTCATATATGTAAATTAAGTAAATCTTACTTTTTTTTTAATGCTCTACTTAAGTTTAAGAAACTGTGACTTCATTATACTGTGCCATAGTCTGAATCAGGAGTGTCCCCCAAAGACATATATCCTAAGGACCTAGGGACCAGCCTGTGTCACTACCAGAAGGTGGTGGAATCTTCAGGAAGTTCTATCACTGAGTGCATTCCCTTGAAGGGGATATTGGGACCCCAATCACTTCCTTTCTTGTTTCTCCCTCCCTCCTCTGGCCGCTTTGCTCTCTACCTCCTTTCCTTTCTTCCTCTCCCCTTCACCCACCTCCAGTTCCCTCCTAGATGTGCCATGGGGTACAGTTTCCTCTGCCATACTCCTGCTATGATCTAAGTGCTGACACAGGCTCAAGATAACAGCCAAACCACCATGGAGTGAATTCAGCTTTGAATAAACACCTACAATATGATTTTTGTTTGGTTGGTTTTGTTTTTTGAGGCATCATTTCTCTGTAGCTTTGGAACCTGTCCTGGACCTCACTCTGTACACCAGGCTGGCCTCGAACTCACAGAGATCCGCCTGTGTCTACCTCCCGAGTGCCAGGACCAAAGCCATGCATCTAGCTACAATATAAATTTTTAAAATTCTGTTTTAACTCAGATTCCCTATATAAAATAAATCTTGAATCCTTGCAGCTTGCATGTTTCAGTGGGTCATATTCACCACCTCTCTTCCCACTTAGTAGGCCTGTGTTCACTTCTGTTCCTCCTGAGTTTTACTGGCTTTCCCCCATGCAGGCCTCTGGCAAAGGTAGTAGTAACATGGAACCGAACCTAGACAACATGACCAAGATATTCTCTGCCTCCTAGTCCTTCCTGAAGTTCATCTGAGATACCACCAACCCCTATAGGAAAGCCCTAGTCATCAGGTCCTTGCTTTATTTACTTTTTTAGACAATTTCATATGGCTCAGGTCACCCTGGCTTTCCATTTGGGACCCTCAGTCTTCCCAGTCCTGGCCCCTCACATTAGTCCTATCTGCCTATGATGGACCACTCTGATACCTGCCTCTGGGCCTCACACAGACAGTTTTTCCTTTACCATTAACACTGGTCTCTAGATCTCTGGATGGCTGCCTCTTTTTCATCATTTGATACTAGTTCAATGACATACCCTTAGACATTATTCTGAATTTCAACTCAGTCACCATTTATAGTACTTACCACTATATGAACTGCTTGCATTCTAAAATCTCTATACCTCCCACATTTTAAAAAATAAAAACATTCCAACATTTGAAAACATCTTTGCAAATGGACCAAATAAATGAATCCCAGATTTCTTCCTACCAATCAACCATATAACAATACCAAAAATTACTCAGTGTATACTTGTATTAACTGCTTCATATATAGCAACAAAATTCAATCTATAAAACAGCACTATACCTTAGAAAGGGAGAGATTAAGGCATAGAAGACAATTGTTCAGTGTCATACAGCTAGTTAAGAGGCAGAACCAGAACTGAAGCCAAGTCTGACTGATCATAAAATGTAAGCTTTTAACCACTATTCATTCTACAGAGTTCCTAGTCTGTCTCTGCTATGCTCTAACTATACCACCATAACATTCAAAGGAAAAAAACTGGTGCTATGTTCCCCCTACCAAAACTGGTACTGAGGTTTGGTCCCCAGTGGAATGGTGTTGCCAGGTGGTGGAGTCTTTTAGAGGCTTTTTTTGGTCCAAGAGGGATGTGCCCTCATGAAGACATTGGGGTAGCTCTCAGAAAAAGTGGCCAAGTTAAGGCAAAAGTGGGTTATTTAAAGTAAGTCTGGAGCCCGACAGTGGTGGTGCACACCTTTAATCCCAGCACTCAGGAGGAGGCAGAGGCAGGCGGATCTCTGTGAGTTCAAGGCCAGCCTGGTCTACAAGAGCTAGTTCCAGGACAGGCTCCAAAGCTACACAGGGAAACCCTGTCTCAAAAAACTAATATAAAATAAAGTAAGTCTGGTTCTCTTTGCTTTCTATTACACACAAATCCCTTTTCACACACACCCATTTCTCCATTACAAGCTGCTACAACAGCACAAGACCCTCACCAGAAGTTGACCAGGTGTAGCCATCTGATCTGGACTTCCCAGCCTCTGTATTCCTTGTCCAATCCTGGGAGCTGTGTTACAGCAACACTGTGACATGAGTGACTTCTACCACTTTCAGTACGGTGCACACTTACTCTTTTCACGTGGCTACCACCACCGAGGCAACCAAGAGCCTCGGATCTTTCTGCGAAGAACTCTCCTAATGACAAGTGTAGGAAACTGCCCTCATGTTTGTCCAGATCTGATGTGCCAAGTGATTTTCTCAACAAATGGTAGTTAACTGTAGCTGCCCAGGATGTATCACCAAGTGCAAGTGAAGTATCCTGAACGTCTATTTTTTCGTCCTAGAAAAAAATAAAGTTATTGTTCCATTTTTTTTTTCCCCCCTCAACAAGGCTTCTCCTTATTCTTCTGTGTGGAACTAAAAATAAAAGAACTAAGAAAACTTAAAAATTAACTTTTTCAAAATGTGGCCCAAAAGGTTTGATAAACATAAGGATGAGCAGCTACTGGAGTCTATAGAACTCATTTTTGTATACATGTTACAATATACACTGTCTGGTCAAACACTGTCACAGATTAGAATATATACATCTTTACCGAAAATAAAGAGAATTATCTTGCTTAAAATGTATTTCTAAAAATACAGAAATATCCTTGGAAACTTTAGAAACAACTTTAAGTAAATTAAAGATAAATTTAGGGGCCAGAGAAATGGTTCAATGGTTAAGAGTGTGTACTACTCCTCCAGAGGACCCCAAAACCACTCCAAGCACCCACAGCTGATGACTCACAGCTGCCTGCAATTACAGCTCCACAACATCTGATACCTGTGGCCTCTGAAGTTACCTGCACTCACTTGTAGATACTTAAACATACATACACAATTAAAAGTAAAATAATTTAGGCCAGCAGCCTGACAACCTGAGCTTGATCACCAGGACACTTGGTGGAAGGAGAAAATCCACTCCCAAGAGGTGTCCTCTGACCTCCCACACATGTGCCATGGTACATACATGCTGGCCCTAAGTATCCCCTACCACAGACACACTACAAACAAATGCAAATCTTTTTAAGCCTGGTAGTGGTGACACATACCTTTAATCCCAGCACTCAGGAGACAGAGGCAGGCAGATCTCTGCAAGTTTGAAACCAGCCTGGTCTACAAGAGCTAGTTCCAGGACAGCCTCCAAAGCCACAGAAAAACCCTGTCTCAACCCACTCCCCTAAAAAAGCAAACCTTTTTAAAAACATGATATAGGGGCTAGAGAGATGGCTCAGCGGTTAAGAGCACGACTGTTCTTCCAGAAGTCCTGAGTTCAATTCCCGGCAACCACATGGTGGCTCACAACTACCTTGAATGAGATCTTGTGCCCCCCGCTGCCATGCGGGCAGAAGACTGTATACATAATAAATAAATAAAATCTTAAAATAAATAAATAAATAAATAAATGAAATTAAGATATAGTCAGGACTTTGTTGTTATTCCTGTTATGTGCAGTACTGGAAATGAAGTACAGGGTTTCATGCAACAGATAAGTGCTCTGCCAGTAACCTATACTAACCTCCAAAGATATATTTTGCTGTATCAGTTTTCAACTAATAATTTAGAACAAAAAAGTAAAAGTTGTCATTAAATGAAAAAAAAAAAAGTGAAATAATCCTAGAGTAACTGCTGGGGAGGATCTTTTTTTTTTTTTGGTCCATATTTAAATTAATACAAGAAAAAACTTAGAACAAGTAATTACAAACCTGTATAAATGGATGTTCTTTATTGAATATTTCTTCATCTTTTGCAATTAAATCCAATGCTTCAGCTTTAAAAAGAACAAGTTTATATAATTAGCACACACAAAAAGCAAATTAAGGAAATATTTAATATATTTAATATGAATTATTAAAGAAACACTGTTTTTCATGGGGATAGATACACATGTTGGCAGTCACACCTCTGCAGGTACACTTGCCTGGTATGAAGACCTGAAGTCATCTTTGGATGTCTTCCTATATTGATCCAAACCTTTTTTTTTGAGACAAGGTCTCTCCCTGAACCTGAAGTTCACTTTTCCACTACAATGGCTGGCTAGCACTAGGGTTACAAGTGCGCACCACCTACCTACCACCTTCGGACCCCAAGTTTTACATGAATACAAGGAATCAGAACTGGGGCCCTCATGCTTGTACAGTAAGCACTTGCTTTTAGCCATGAGCCACCTGCTTTTAGCCACTGTAGTTCTGAAATACAGTTTTTTTAAGTATGTAAAACTTGCATTCACATGACTTACATAATTATATTAAGTATGCAAAGTTGTCAAATTTCCACTAAAAAGCACAACACTGTAACACTGCTGGGATTAAGGTATGTGCCACCAATGCCCACCCTGAAGGGGATTTTAAACATACTGCTAATTCATATGAGACCAGGCTCTGGTCTACCTGTCTGTGGTTTAGGTCTCTGCCTGCTACTTCAAGATTGTACAAAAAGGGGAAGAGTAAACTAGAAGGGACAGTCCACTCATGGCCCAAATAAAGACACTGCCCTCTTCTGTGCCCACAAACTATCCTTTTGGACAAGTAGACAGTCTCATGTTAACAAATAGAGACACTGGCTCCTGCCTACTTATGGCTCCCGCCTACTGCCACTTCCCAGCCCATCTTCCCACTGCTTCCCAACCTGTCTCCCTGACTGCTGCACTATTCTGACCTATTGTATTGGCCTTGTTCCTCCTGATATCAAGGCTGCACAGGCTGCTCCCTCCCTCCCTCACAGTGCTCTCCCCTAAGCCTGCATGGCTCTACCTCACACGTGGTTTATCAAGCTTGTCAGGGTTTTTGCCCTGCTTTTGAAGTCCTAGTCATCCTTTCTCTCTGAGGACAGTTTGCCTCAGCGTTGCATCTCTCATCCCTCTTCAGTCTAGCAAAGTTTCCTAGTCACAGAACTTCAGGAAGAAATAAATCATTAGCAAGAGCTTTGGTTCTGTCTTAGAAGTGAGCTAGCTTAAGTCCATTTCTGTGCCTATAGCACCAACATAGTTTGCTGGGTCTTCGGAAGCTTTCTGTTTTTATATTGATAGCTCTGTCTATTTTTAAAGCAGTGCCACTTTGTTTTGTTTACACATGTACAAAATATCTGCCAAGATTACTATTTTGTTACTCTGTTCAGTCTGTTGCTTCTTTTGCAAATGAAAGTTATTATTTTGTTAATGTTGCCAAAGTTATTTATAAGAAATAGCAATTAGAGAAATAAAGCATTTTCTAAAAGAAAAAAAAAAAGACAAATGGAGACACAAATGAGAACAAGCTTCTGCTTCAGGTAAAGAAAATCAGAGAACCAAGCACATCCTAGGATTCCTATTGCCAGAACAGTGTTTGCTGAAGCAATCACCTACGACTGAACATCAAGAGAACCATGAGGCCCCCCAAATTAGATGCAAAATAGTATAATCTATACAGACATGTTTCTGAGGATCTCCAACTCAAAAAAGCTAAAAACACTACAATAAAATGTGAAAGCATCAACCAACCAAATCTGGCAATCCAAAAAGGGCAAGTAGGAAACCCAGCGCATAGGAAGATAACACAGAAGAACCTTAATTTGCTTTCATGAGTTAAGCATTACAGTTTTTAAAAATAATTGGATACCTCAAAATACTACTTATTATATTTCAAAGTGCTTTTCCTAAGGAATTTTTCAGTTAATTATCTCCAATACTTTAGTGTTGCCTTTTCTGCTTCTCAAAAATCAGCCATGGATATAATGGAAGAAAAGTTTCATAGTTTTAGAAAAATATAAACCTAATTATTAACTAACCTGAAATAATAATCTCACTTGTTGCCTGAATATTTCACTGGTTAAACATTAAAGCAGTCCTTGTGTCTTTCCCTAAATGTTTACTTGTTAGAACAACAAACAAGAGTAATGTTAAACTGCACCCTTTGTTTCCTTCTACCAAGCCTTGTAACTCTTCTAAATCCTTTGTATTAAGAATTCCAGAATGCAATTATATTTCAGAAGGTATTTTATATTTTATATATAAACTGACGAGTCTCAAAACATCATGAATCTAACACAATAAAATTGATTATCTACATACTTACTACCAGATCTGAAGTCTTCGTTCATTTCATTATTTGGAGACATCTGTAAATCTTGCTGATCAGTAAAAGATGTGTAGTAGGCAAGGTCAGTGACCCATTTGCCATCCTCATTTTGGTAGACTACGCTCTGTGAGAGATCTGTTTCTAAAAAGTAAATTCCAAAACCACTGAATGATGCATATAACAACTTACTTAACAACAGTGCTGAAGTCTCTTCAAAATGAGTTAGAAAAAGGAAAATCCATTTCCCAAAAAGAAAAAAATATCTTGGCAAGAAGCCAAGCTTACCCAGAAGTCTATAATAGAGGATGAGACATAAAAGGGGACAAGACTCAAAAAGGTACATTTGTGGGGCTGAAGAAATGGCACAGAGGTTAAGAGCACTGGCTGCTCTCCTGGAGGATCTGGGTTCAATTCCCAGCAACCACATGGTGGCTCACAACCATAATGAGATCTGGTGCCATTTTCTGAAATGCAGGCAGAACACTGCATACATAATATAAAAAAAAAAATCTTAAAAAAAAAAAAAAAACCAACCGGGCGTTGGTGCCATACGCCTTTAATCCCAGCACTCGAGAGGCAGAGGCAGGCAGATCTCTATGAGTTCAAGGCCAGCCTGGTCTCCAGAGTGAGTGCCAGGATAGGCTCCAAAGCTACACAGAGAAACCCTGTCTCAAAAAGCCAAAAAACAAAAAAACAAAACAAAACAAAACAAAAAAACAACTTACATTTGCATTAGATGTCTGCTTAACATTATTTCTGCGCAACAATAATGCAATAGTAGCATATTTTAAAAATCTTTAAAATCCACAATAACATGAGGAAGAACTCATGGAGTCCTGCCATACAGAGGGGAACCAATAGAAATCAAAAAACATGCACACTGGCTCTAGTTAAACCCAATGGGACACAAAGCAAAAACAAACACACAAAAGACATCAAAGTGGGATGGGAATTTGGTGGGGAGGAGTTTGTGGATAAGAGTAGGGTAAGACAAGGTAGAAGGATAAATGTGACCATAATGAATTTAATGGTTGTGAACTTCAGGTTTCTGTGGGACTCCTAACAGTGGGAGTGAGTCTGTCTCTGACTCTTTTGCCTGCACTTGGGACACTTTTCCTCTTATTGGGTTGCCTCACTCAGTCCTGATATGAGGGTTTATACCTAGTCTTATTGTAGACTCTTATGTCATTATTGTTATATCTTATTGTATATTGACATCCCGAGAGGCCTACTCTTTTCTAATGGGAAATGGAGGAGCAGTGAATCTGGAGAAGAGGAAAGGTGGGGGGTAGGGGGACAGAACTGGGAGAAGTGAAGAGAGGGGAGGCTGCAGTAAGAATGTAGTGTATGAAAGAATAATAATAATAATAATAATGCTGTTAAAGGATAATTTTTAAAAATCCATGAAAATATTACAATACTTCAGAGAGTTTTACGTGGAAGCTCAGCCTATTCTAAATATATAAACATTTATACACTTCTTTAATCCTATTTATGATGAAATAGTTACTTACTGTCATTAGGCTTTGTAGGCTTTGTAGGCTTTGTAACAGATTCATAATATTCACATGCTCTCCTTTCACAAGTTGGTGACCAAAGAGTATCAGGAGTCTTCATTCCATTGCCACCATTAGTCTTTGAAGATGCAATGCACCCAACTTTTTGAATACACACTGTAGGAGTCTCCGTGTTTAAGTCTCTATCCACATTCAAAACTGTTTTTAAATCTGAAGCCAAATGTTTGTTTTGGTGAGGAGACTCTGAGTCCTGTTTTATGGAGTCAGCCGGGTTAAAGCCACCTTCTGAAGTGCTCATGTTGTGACTGTAAGCTGGGTTGAGTGTCTCATCCACAGTATGCATCATCTTCCCCAGAACATCCTCTCCTGTACATCCCTTTAAAAGTTTTTAGTAAAACAAAAATAAGTTTTGTTTTTCAGACTCATTTTAACAGTTGATGAAGAAAGTAATGTGACTGCTAAAACATGCTTATCATATAATTAAATCGCCTCTATAGTATTCAGTATATCCTAGACTATGTACGAGCTAAAGTTAAGCAATTTACCAAAACAAAACTTTAAAATATGGCCATGCTGAAGTCTATTTGCAGATGCATTATGGATACTAAGCTGAGTGTTCTCAACTTAGTTACTGTAATTTAAAAAAGTTGGGAGGAGGATGTTCATGGACTGACATGTTCATACTCCTGTCCCTTATCACCCGGGGCCCCAAAGTTTATGCTAGCTCTAGCAGAATCAAAAAGCTTTTCAATCTCTTTAAAGATGATGTCTTGCCAGTATGCTGTCAGAAAGCCTCAAACAAAGGAGGTTTTAAAAAGAAAAAAAAAAAAAAAAAGGATCAAAGCACCCAAGAACCCAAGATTCAGGGTTTTAGCAGAGTGTGGTGGTACACACCTTTAATCCCAGCACTCAAGGAAGAGGCAGGTGGATCTCTCTGAGTTCGAGGCCAGCATGGTCTACAGAGGGACTTCCAAGACAGCCAGGACTATACAGAAACCAACCCTATCTTGAAACAAAAAACAAAAAAAGTCTTCCAACAACGGACTGAAATCTCCTTAAACTACTGTCCAAAATAATCCTTCCTTTCTTCAGCTGCTTTTGTCAGGTCAAGGGGTTAGTTACTACACAGCCTTAGACTGGAAAGACTAATTCAGTCTGGGTGAGGGAAGGTGGGGAAGGGAGCTAGGCTAGACAGACACACACTACTAAAAACCAGACCCACACAAAAGTAGGAATCAGAAATGGCTACCATGCTTCAGGACAGGAAAAAATAGGAAGCATCAGAACAAGGAGAAAAGTCTAACATATGAAAAGCAAAGATGCTTAAGCAAAGTAAAACGACAATGACTGCTTTGGTGATGATTTTTTATTTGTTTGTTTTTGTTTTGAGACAGGTTTCCATGTATCCCAGACTGGTCTGAACTCGGCTATTTAGATGAGTTGACCTTCAAGTTCCAACCTTCTTGCCTCCACCCTAGTGCTAGAATTCAATGCATAGACCCCAAGACCCAGGATGTTCTTTCATGAGAGCAGTGATTTCTATACATTTCCATATTTCCAGAGGCTAACTCTGATGGTTTGCTTTGAAAATCTGGTATCATACAAACATGGGAAATTCGCAGGAAGCTGAAATAAAATGCTCATCGACTTACTCTGCTTTGATCTGGAACAATATCCTTCTCAGTTCTCCAAGTACGAGAGGAAAACGGTAACATAATATCTAGCTGTTTTACAGTATCTACAATACCTGCATAGCCACATGAAAATAAAGAAAAAAGGTTAAATGGAACAATATAGTTGAGGTAGTCTAACGCAATAACTGTCTCTTTAGCTTAATACTTAGTATTCATATGACAAATTTAGCAAATTGGAAACAAGTGAAAATAAGCATCAGTAAGGGAATAACAGAAGAAACCTGGTAGCATAAAGTTGATTTCTAATTCTCAAATGTCTAAATGGAACACAACCATGTAAAATGGCCAACCCAAGAACATACTATTATATTTCAAGCAGTACCAGTTCACACAGGCATTATTATAACTATTTATTGTGTAGGAAGTGATTGATCTTCTGCTATGGTATTAAAAGTTCTTCTCAAAGTTTTTGGGCTGAAGGGAAAATGAACGGTGTCTAACAGCAAATCATAACAAAGATTTATGACCAAAGGGGAGCCAGACGTGGTGGCTCAGGCCTAAAATTTCAGTAGTCAATAGGCTAAGGAAGCAAGATTGCAATGAGTTGAAGTCCATCTGGAATATACAATAAGATCCAGGCCAGCCAGCCGGACAGTCTTTTATGCCTTTAATCCCAGCACTCGGGAGACAGAGGCAGGTGGATCTCTTTTGAGTTCGAGGTCAGTCTGGTCTACAAGACCTAGTTCCAGGACAGCCTCCAAAGCCACAGAGAAACCCTGTGTGTGTGTGTGTGGGGGGGGGGGGAGTTCCAGGCTTACTATGTGAAACCTTGTTTCAAGCAAACAAAGAAAAAAACATACTTAACACTTACTGGTCCTCAGCAGACAACCATGGCCTTCCTCAGACTCTCTGTGAGTTGTTCCAGAACTTCCTGAAGTATATGCATCATGGGAAATCAGAGAACTATTATTTTCTAACTGGAATTCATAGTTTAACACACTGTTTTCATTTGCCTGTTAAGAAAATATCCTCTTTTAAATTGAAAAAGAACATTTTGTGGAAAATGTGGAGAACAGAATGTCTGCTTTACTGAGCGATGCCAGATAGAAAATAAGGAAAAATCAGAAAAAAAAAAAAAATCATGGCAAGCACTAGTATAATTAATACTTAAGTCTGAAAGGTTTTAGCAATTAAACTACCACCAGTTCGTGAAGACTTGCTGGAGACAGGATGTTTACAAGCCTTTATATGTCATCAAATGGATGATTCAACCACAAAGGAAAAAGCATCTGCATCAAGAGACATATGACCAACAATGACATTATCAAACACAAAAATGGTAGAAACAACAGATGCATCTTCTGCTGTGAAGTAGTGAGCACAGCACCACATATGTTTAATCAACTTATTCATGAGAAAAATGGATCACTAGAATTCTTGCCAAATGTTTAACCTATTCTAATCAGGGGAAATAATAACCAGAAGTTTCCAAGTTATGGGGTCATTCTACAAAACAATGAGCCTAAATTTTATAAAATGCTTAATGTATGAAAGAACTGCAAGTTAGAATAAAGAAACCAAACAACTACAGGCCATATAACCTTTGATTAAATGATGAATCATAAACAGTAAAAATAAAGAATAGTTTAGAGATAACTGGGCAAGTTTGAATATAGACATTAATTTAATGTTTCCTTTTTATTTATTATGTGTGCAGTGCTATGCCTGCATGTATGCCTGGATGCCAGAAGAGGGCACCACATTTCATTATAGTTGTGAGTCACCATGTGGTTGCTGGGAATTGAACTTAGTACCTTTGAAAGAGCAGCCTGTGCTGTTAACCTCTGAGCCATCTCACCAGCCCCTAGACATTAAAACAGTGTATCAGGTGCTGGAGAGTTGGCTCAATGGTTAAGAACTGCTGTGGAACAATCCTTTTCTACATTATGAACATGTATTGCTCTCATTGGTTAATAAAAAGCTAACAGACTGAAAAGGAAGTTAAGCAGGAAAGCCAATTGAGAATGATGGGAAGAAGGGTGAAGTCGGTGAGATACCAGCCAGGCACAGAGAAAAAAAACAGGATTGTGGAAATGAGCTAACAAGACACGAGCCACATGGCAATACATAGATTAACAGAAATGGGTTAATTCAAATGTAAGAGTTAGCTAGTAACAAGCCTGAGCTATTGGCTGAGCATTTATAAGTAATATTAAGCCTCTGAGTTATTTGAAAACCAACAGTAAGGACAGGAAACTTCCAATTACAAAAAAATACAGGCTGCTACTCTAAAGGATTTGTGTTTGGCTCTAGACCCACACACAGGCTCACAACCATCTGCAACTGTAGTCCTAAGTGATCTAACACCCTATTCTAGCCTCTGAGGTCACCAGGCATACAAGTAGGCCACAGAAATACATTCAAGCAAAACACCCATACAGATAAAATGTATTTTAATTTTAAAGTACAGGTAGTATAAAGGTAGATTAATAGATTGTGATTATGGGGCTGGAGAGATGGCTCAGAGGTTAAGAGCACCGACTGTTCTTCCAAAGGTCCTGAGTTCAATTCCCAGCAACAACATGGTGGCTCACAACCATCCGTTATAATACCTGGTGCCCTGTACTAGTGTGCAGATATACATGGAAGCAGAATGTTGTATACATAATAAATAAATAAATAAATATATAAAAATATTTTTAAAAAATTAATAGATTGCTATCCTAGAGGCAATTTTATAGATTGTGATTATGTGGGAAAATGCCTCTTATTCATTGGTGATAAATTCTAATGTACAGTCACAAATCATACACAATTTGTTTTTAAGTGATTCAGAGAGATTAAAAAAAATAGGATACAGCAACAAGATATTAATTGCTCAATGCAGAGAAAGGATGCCTACTAACCATACTCTCTTCATTTTCCTTCTTGCAAGTAACCCAAGCTGACCTTGACATCCTAATCCTCCTGAATCAGCTTCCCAAGTGCTGTAACTCTTCTTTTTTTTTTTTTTTTTTTTTTTTTTTTTTTTTTTTTTTTT